AGTGAGCTTTTGGAGTGAACCATGGGTAGGGAATAAAACTTTAAGGGATGTATATCCAATATTGTATGAATTGTCTACGAAAAAGGCGTGTAAGATTAGTGATATGGGGGTATGGGAGGGAGACAAATGGTGTTGGAAAATGGAATGGAGGAGAGAGAGAATAGGGAGAGAAAAGGATGAGGAAGAGAAGTTAAGGGAAAGATTGGAGAGGCTACAATTAAAGAAGAGTGTGGAAGATTGTTGGAGTTGGATACATGATTCGGAGGGTAGATACGAGGTGAAGAATGCTTATGAATTTTTAGTCCCAACAGAATGTGTTCTAAACGAGCAATGGAGTAAGTTAATTTGGTGTAAATTAGTACCCTCTAAAGTGTCTTTCTTTGGGTGGAGATTATGCCTTGATAGGCTTCCAACTAAGTGGAATATTAGGAAGCGAGGGGTACCTTTGAAGGAAGAGGAATCAATATGTGTTTTGTGTAAGGACAAGGTGGAGGAAGTTAATCACTTGTTTAGTATGTGTCAGGAAGTATGGATTTTTTGGGTAGAGGTACTACAGTGGTGGGGCATGGTGACTGTTATGCCTAATAACATGCTAAGTGTGGCAGACGTTTTTGTAAATGATTTGGGTAGCATAATAGGGAAGGAGATGGGTGCTTGTATCTTCCTTGTGGCTTCATGGTATTTATGGTATTGGAGAAATGGTGAGGTGTTTAACAATGGAAATAACATTAGAGGAAGATTAATGGATATGGTTCAAGCCAAATCATTTTTCTGTATTAAGAATAAGATTCATGGGTGTGTCTTTTCATTTCATGAATGGAAGGTAAAACCAGCTGAATGTGCTCTATCAGTGAGAAAATATAAACAAATGCAGAAATTGTTCCATAAACAATAGAAAGGAATGGGTGCAGCTTAAAGTTTGGAGAGGTACGTGGCTTTTCTCCTCATTGAGAGACAATAGTAAGAACAATTGTCATATTCATGAAGAAGTCGTTACCCTGAATATGTATAGGGCTTTTTGAGATGCTAATTGTTCTGCAGCTTGTTGTGGATGCTTTTATTTTTGTCATTCTATCATGCTAGCAGTTGTTTCTTATTTGTAATGGGTAGGAGTACCCCTTGTGCTCCAATATTAATAAATTCATTTTGTTGATAAAAAATATATATATTTTAACCTTCAAGTCATTAGCAGAGCTAAGGTGGCCTCCCTTAAGCTTTTGAAAAAGAAGTTTGGACTCTAAATTTTATTTTATTATATCTTATCTTAAATAGTTATATTTTTTTTATTTCATTTTAGTTATTTTTTATTATTAAAGATTATTTTTAAGTGAAAATCAGAAAGTTGAGGAAAATATAGATAATATGAAAGATGAAAATATTCAGTATGTCATTTCACAAAATATTCAGTATAACTTTTTGTTTTACTTTTTTAAGTAGTTTTCTTTTACCCATCATATTTGTTCATTTTGTCCTTCAATTGATGACACTCATATCATCACTTCATTGACGACCATTAATTTATTGTTAAAGATTAATAAATTTTGTTCATAATAATTTTTTTCTAAAATTTTCTTCTTTATTAACTTTCAATGTACACAGAAACACATTTCTTAGTCAATATTTTATTCCCCCTGAAAAATATATCTAGCTCCATTACTTCATGTTATTAGGTATTCTCATCATGATGATATATTGATCTGCATGTGATCTTAAACTTAAAATCATTATACTCTAATATAAGCTGGAAATGATAAACAACCTGACGCGAAAAGCACTGTGAAAGTAATTCGAAACACACTCTAAATCAACTCAGAAGAACAAATCGGGAAAAAGAATGAAAGATGACGAAACCCTAAAAACTCAATTTTTTAGGGTATTAGAGTTGTGAGGAATCTAATATTAAGTTTGCTTTTGGCCAAATAATTAAATATATAAAAAGAGAACTTATCTTTCAAATTAAAGAGAAAAGAAAAGGCAATACTTACACTCATATATCCAGCGTCCCCAAGATCCAAGCTCATTTAGGCGTAAAAATGGTGGTAGTGTTTCAGCAAGTGTTAAAATGATAGGAGTGGAAATCGAAGAGTGTTTAAATGCCCACTCTGGAAATTGGTGGAGTAAATCCAATGCAATATCTGATATATATATATATATATATACACACACATAAGATAGTTTGTTAAAGAGGAGTAAAATAACAGCATTGTACACCCTTTATCCAACAATAATAGACCTTTTTTATTTAAAATTTGTCATAAAATAATAGTAGTGTTTTTATATTTTAAATGAGGCAACTATTTTTTTCTTACTATAATTTAATCTTAGGTTAAATGTCAAATTTATTTCCTAAATTTTTAATTTTGAACAATTTTAGTTTCTAAACTATTTTTAGTGCTCTTTTCATCCCTTAACTACAAAAAATATATATTTTTTGCTATTCTGTCAGTTTTGTTAAAGAGGAGTAAAATAACAACATTGTACACCCTTTATCCAACAATAATCGACCTTTTTTATTTAAAATTTGTCATAAAATAGTAGTAGTGTTTTTATATTTTAAACGAGGCAACTATTTTTTTCTTACTATACTTTAATCTTAGGTTAAATGTCAAATTTATTTCCTAAATTTTTAATTTTGAACAATTTTAGTTTCTAAACTATTTTTCACAACTTTTTCAAACCTCAAATATGAAAAATGCTCTTTCTTGATCCTTTTGTCAGTTTTGTCCACTAAATTTGCACAGCTGACGTTTTTTGCCCCAAACTTTTGTTTTATGCACATTTAGGTCACTAAAGAAAATTATAAAAATGCCATCTAGTCATACTTAATAGATAAAATTGATGAAAGAACAAAAAAAGTATACCTTTCATAGTTAAGGGAGGAAAAAAGTGCAAAAAATAGTTTAAAGACTAAAATTATTAAAAATAAAAGTTTATGAACTAAATTTGACATTTAACCTTTAATCTTATTACCGTCTCTCAACTTTATTTCATAAAACAGTCTCTTTGTTATTATTATTATTTGAAAAGTATGCAAGTAAAAACATAAATTGTTCCAAAATTTTTAATCTAAAGGTAAAATTAAAAATCATCTTTTATTCTAATATAAAGAGAGTATATATCAATTAAGGAGAAGAAGAGTTGTAGAACTCTTTACCAAACATTCCTTTGGTTATACAGCGTTCTAGGAGAAAGAAGCCAGAGTCTCCCCGTAGAAAATCAAGTGGAATCTCCCTATAGAGGTAGCGTGCCATTTTCTTCCGGCCACAAGTAATTGCATGCTTAAGAGCAGAGTCTAACATTTGCGGAGATATTATATCCCGATTGTTATGTAAGAACCGCTTTAGCTCGGAAACGGACTCCCAGCAAACTAACTTCTGCAACGTTTCTTGTTGCTCTGCCAATAATGGTTGTAAGAAATTATCGTTTGTATTAAAAATTTGAAGTCATGGTATCAACCTATTTCTTCAAAATGCATTTAAAAGAAATTTTTTTTTTATTTGACCCTTTTTTAGCTCTCCTATAATCAAAACCTAGATCCCAAGACAAGATCTCAATGCCACACACGACTTCAACAAACATCAAAAACTAAGCTATAGAATGCTACCCATTATTTTAAGAGAAGGACCAGTGGCCACACCGTTTCGGCTATTGGTTCGGGCTCAACTAGTTGGATCCATCAAACCAAATGGTCCAAACAGTTGACTAAACAAAATAATCAATTATAAAATTATCTTGCCTTAACTTATTTTATTTTAAAATTGATTGAGATAATTATTTTTTTATGAGAGATTGAGATCATTTTTGTAATAATTAATAAATTAAAGAGGCAATCATTTTTAAATTAATTTTATTTTCAAAATTTAATACATTCCCAAAATTGATTAATTTCAAATGCTTAAATTTATCAAAATGCCTAATATATTTTTAATTTATTATCCATATAAAGACTAAAACATTAGTTTTTATTAATTATAAAATTAATTTTTACTTTATTGGTTTTATTTTCAAAATTAAATTAGATTAATTTTAATTTCAAATTGATTTCATTCATTTCATTTACTAAAGTAGTCATTTATTTTCAAAAATTTTATTCTCAAAAGTCAAAAATGATTTGATTTGATTTCAAATTAATTTCATCCTCTAAGATGAAATAATAATTTAGTTTCCAATTGATTTTATTTTCAAAACTAATTCAAGTTACATTTAAATTGATTTCAAATT